ACGAGTGCGCTGTGGACGCTCAGAAGCATCCGGCTGCTGCTGAAGGTCTGCCTCAGATGGAGCAGACTCAACTTCAGCGGTCTCCTCAGCCGGAGGAGAAGGAGGAGGGTCAGTGGGCTGAGGAGGAGCAGTGAACCCAGCACGACGAGCACGGTCATAGGCACGCACCAACATGCGAGCGTGCTCCAAGTGCTCGAGGGGCTGTCAGGTAGCCTCCTCATCAGGGTAACCCTTCCAACGTACGAGATACTCGACGTGGGGAGGGTTGTCGTCGGTGACTCGGCGACCAATGATGTATGAAACGAGGAGCTCCTCGTGGCCGTCCACCATGATGGGTGGAGGGCGCTCGTATGGTCGTCCAGCGAAATGCTGAGACGGTCTGCGGTAAGGACGCAGTAACGAGACGTGGTAGACATCATGCACACGAGCCTGGCGTAGGTAGTCGGGCAGCTGCACACGAAAGCTGACCGGGCTAGATGCCGTATCAGAACCGACGACCTGGAGGATGCGGCATGGGCCGAAGAAGCGATGCCGAAACTTGCGAAGCGTGTCCGCTTCGAGCTGTAAGTGGCGGGTGTCGATAAACACATCATCACCAACCTTGAATGGGTGATCCATCCTCGATCGGTTCGCACGTGATGCCATGCGAGTCTGGGAAGCGGTTATGTGCTCATGTGCGGTCTTCATAATCGACGTCATGTGTGCAACCCAATCATCCAGCACGGGACAACTCGTGTCGGGGTGCATCTGGGACGGTCGAAGGAAGTCCGCGGGAACACGCGGGTGATAGCCGAGGTCGCAATAGTAAGGCGACATCCCCGTGGCTGGCGAGACGGCGTGGTTGTAGGCTATCTCCGCGTGGGCAAGATGGAGATCCCACTGCTGGTCGTCACGAACAATCTTTCGGAGAATATCCCCGAGAGTCCTGTTCGTGATCTTGGTCTGACCATCAGTCTGAGGATGGTAAGACCAGGAGAAGCGGAGCTGAGTGTCGTACACCTCGTGGAGCCGTCCCCAGAATCGGCTGGTAAAGCGCGGGTCACGGTCAGATATGATGCTCATAGGTAAGTCGTGGTCACGCACGACTCGGTCAAATACGATGTCGGCGACCTCACGTGCACTGATGGCATAGCGACACGGAACAAAGAGTGCACGCTTCGTGAAGCGGTCGACGACGACCAGGATAGCATCATGACCGCGGGGGGTCGGAGGTCGAAGAGGACCGATAAAGTCCATCGAGATGGCTTGCCAACGACCCTCAGGGATAGGAAGAGGATGGAGCAAACCATAAGGTAGGTGGTTCGCACTTTTCACCTCCTGACAGGTGGGACACTCTGCGACGTAGTCCTTCACAAAGTCCTTGCGCTTCGGCCAGACGTACAGGCGGCTCACACGAGCCAATGTCTTGTGGAAGCCCATATGACCGGCAGCTGCCTGGTCATGGAACTCTGCTACTGCTCGGACACGTAGCTGTCCAGTGGAGCGAACACAAATACGGGGCTCTCTGGTGCCCTGTGAACCGTGCCAGTACACAAGACCGTTGTCCCCGAGAGA